GGGGGAGGGGCAGTACCAGGCATCATAGCCTCACTGGCTGGCACGTTGTCACTGCCTGTACAGCTGCACCGTCATGGGCTGTGACGTGTCCCTGAGTTTGAAGCGAAGCAGGATCGGGGCTGCTCACTGTGTGGAGGGGGGACCCAGGCCGTGCGGGCGAGTCAGTATTGACCCAGCAGCCCTGCATGGTGTTTAGGGACAGTGGGTTTGTTAGCCTGGAGTCCCAGCAGGATCCCTCCGGGAGAGATGCTCTTCCTGGAGTATGCCGCTCTGCGGAGGGGGGCATGCAGCAGGTGGAGAGAGGGCTGGATCTCCTGGAGCTCGAAGGGGGGAGTGCAGTGGAGACCGGCTGAGCGGACGCAGTCCAGCTCTTCCCTGCATGGGACAGATTCAGTCAGAGCCGCTCATCTAGTCACACCCACGCCGCTCAGCCGTGGGATGTCTGACCCTGCGCTCGGCTCTCCCGCCTATCCGGGTGGGAAACAAGCCGGGTTTTCATGGGGCTCATGTTGTGTAACGTTGCTGCAGGCACCAGCCATAGCACAACTGCTGGCACGCCCCTCCCCCCCATCCCAGGGGCGAACACCACGGTCTAGAGCAGAGGGACGGGGCGGGGGCCACCTCATGTTCCTGGCTTTGTGATCCGGCATCATGGCGGTGGGCACAATCCAACCCCCCGATGGATTCACGAGAGGGGAACGTCTGATCTAGAATGAGAGGGATACATGTGGGTGGATAGACAGAGAGGTACAGTACGTATGTTGTATCGAGGGGTATGGGCGATGTAGAGACAGCAAGCTAGATAGGGGTTATGAACAGATGGAGAGAGACAGAGAGACAAGGTGCGGGAGGTGATATCTTTTATTTACCAACTTCTGTTGGTGAAACAGACAAACTTTGGAGCTACATAGAGCTCTTCTTCGGGTCTGGGAAAGGTAGACAGACAGACAGAGGGGTACTTATAGCTGGATGGATGAGGGTACGTATAGATGAGGAGGTAAGGAGGACCCACCAGTGAATGGCTAGGGAGGGAGGCAGAGGGGTACCTATAGCTGGATGGATGGATCTAAGGGGGCATGTGGGGATGGATGGACAGAAGGGGGCATGTGGGGATGGATGCATAGATGGATGGGGGCATGTGGGGATGGATGGATGGATCTAAGGGGGCATGTGGGGATGGATGGGGGCATGTGGGGATGGATGGTTGGATGGATGGATGGGGGCATGTGGGGATGGATGGATGGACTGATGGACAGAGGGATGGGTGGATAGAAGGGGGTGTGTGGGAATGGACTGATGGACGGAGGGATGGATGGATCAGGGTACGTATAGATGAGGAGGTAGGGAGGACATACCAATGAATGGCTAGGGATGTAGGCAGAGGGGTACCTATAGCTGGATGGACGGGCAGATAGATGGGTACGTATCGATGGACAGCGAGAGGAGTACGTATGAAAAGTGGAGAGGTAGACATGGATGGATAGGGGGCGGGCTGTGATGACCAGATCTTGCGTCCCACTGGCGCTGCTCATGGGATGTCACTTTTGGGGGAGCCTGTCAAACCCTATCGCTGTTGCCTGGTGACACCAGGACGTTATCGTGCGAGGCGGCACCACGTGACTTTGTGCCCAAGGCCATGACGAGACTCTCCCTTCCAACAGACGCGGCAGCCAAAGGGAGTGATGGGAACTGCTCCTCCAGCAAGGCCCTGCGAGATCCCACCCTCTGCCCCACCAAAACCGGGGAGGAAAACATCCCAGTTGCTAACCCGGAGAGGCAACGGGGTTAGCCAGCTGGCTGGAGCGGGTGGGGGGCCCATCCCACTAGCTGTGTTTCCCAGGCAGGCCTGTCTCGTTTCTGTTTCTCTTAATGCTCATATCGGTCTTTCCTTTCCCCCAGATGACAGACAGGAGACCGCATTGAACCTGTCCACCAGCGGCATTAGCAGCATCAACATGTCAATAGAAATAAATGGAGTTGTCTACACAGGTAAATAGAAGGGCTGCTCGGCCCATGTAATTGCGGCCAGGAAATCCAATAAGTTATAGCCACTGCCCGGCCGGCGAGTCTTTCCTTCAATCTGATGTCTTTACAGTAAAATCCATTGTAATGAAGTGGCAGGGCCGACGCCGGGCAGGCGGGGGCGGGGAGGCAGAGCTGCAGATTGCCCTGGTGAGCCGCAGTCGATTCGGCGGTGGAGGGCGCTCGGCGGGCGGAGTGGGGAGCAGCCCTGGAGGCCTGGGCTTTAATTACGGCAGGATCCGTTGGCCATAGCGTAGGGGTGGGGACTCACTGCACAGCCAGGGGGACTGGCACGGACAGATGGACGGACTTATGCTGCAGCCAAGGCGGTGGACGGCGGCTCCCCCGCGCGTGCCCGCTGGAGAACTCACCTTCCAGAGCCAGGAATGGAACCGAGATCCCTGAATCTCAACGGTCCACAAACGTCCATCCATGAAAGCCGCTGGCAAAGTGTCTCTCATGGCAGTGGGCTGGCAGAAGGGCTACGCACCCCAGACATCACCGGCACCCCAAGGGGCACCAGACGCTCTGCACAGGGGTGTATTTCACTGTTAGATCCCCGGCCTTTAATCTAAACCACATCCAGCGTGTCCAGACACTGCAGCAATGGGTGCCATACAATGGGTGCTTTTGCTGAGGGTCATAGTGTTATTTACCCCTTCACATAACACAAGACCCAGGGGTCACCCAATGAAATGAATAGGCAGCATGGTTAAAACAAACAAAAGGAAGTATTTCTTCACACAACGCACCGTCAACCTGTGGAACTCCTTGCCAGAGGATGCTGTGAAGGCCAAAAGTATAACTGGGTTCTAAAAGGAACTAGATAAGTTCATGGAGGACAGGTCCAGCAATGGCTATTGGCCAGGATGGGCAGGGCTGCAACCCCATGCTCTGGGTGTCCCTAGCCTCTGACTGCCAGAAGCTGGGAGTGGACGACAGGGGATGGATCACTCCTTAAATTGCCCTGCTCTGTTCATTCCCTGTGAAGCACCTGGCCCCGGCCACTGGCGGCAGATGGACCATTGGTCTGACCCAGGATGGCCGTTCTCATGTTCTCATGCGTGGCTGGGAGCAGAGATGCAGGCGTGGACAGATCTGTGCCACGAGCCGAGGGTGCGGAGTTCAACGGGGAGCCGGAATGCTCCAGAGTCTCCCACCCTGTTCCGGCTCGTGCCCTGCAATGGATCAAGGCTCCGTCTCTGAGCAGAGCAGTGACAGCCCCTGGGCTGAGAGCCCCTCTGGGAGCGGCTGGGAAGGTTTCATACAACCTGGGGCCTGTCCCTTTAAGTGTGCGTTCCCGCTTTGGCTAAGTGGGTCACCCCGCTGCCCCCTGGAGATGCCTCCTAGCCATGCTGAGCTGCCCCAATTAAAATAGAAAGCTGGATTTGACAGCAGTTAAATATTTAACTATCGGGAAAGGTCAGGGCCGATAAGAGCCCTGTGTCTGTACCATCCTTCGGCTGCCTTGAGGAGCCTGCTGGCCTGACACCCCAGCTGTCCCCCACGGCGCCTCGCCTCCAGGCCGGGCCCAAGCACCAGGCACTAGGGAGAAATCGGAGCCAGAGGCCGGGCAGGAGAAAGCTCTACAGCCAGAGACGGGAGGTGGGGCTCTCGCGCCAGGCAGGGAGAAGTCGCATGAGCAACTCATGGGAGGGATAGCTCAGTGGTTTGAGCTTTGGCCTGCTAAACCCAGGGTTGTGAGTTCAATCCTTGAGGGGGCCACTTAGGGATCTGGGGAAAAATCAGTACTTGGTCCTGCTAGTGAAGGCAGGGGGCTGGACTCGATGACCTTTCAAGGTCCCTTCCAGTTCTAGGAGATGGGATATCTCCATTATAATAAGCAAAGGGACAGTTCAGGAGAAGGGTCCTGGCTTCCTGACGATCCCTCCCTGCCTAGATCCTGGTTCTCCCGAAAGCCTGCCACACTCGACGTGGGCTGTGGGCCCCCGGGCCGAGCTCCTCGCAGCTCACACGTGCCTCTGACGCTGGCCGGCAGCTGCCCCCAGCTCCTCTCCTCCGGGCGCTGATGCCAGCGGTGGCTGCCGGCGAGGTGGCGGGGTGGGTTTTCCCCACACCTGCACGCTGGCACCAACGCGCTGCTGCGAGCACAGGAGCTTCCGCCTGCCCTGGTGCCACCCCGGCCCCCAGTTGCTCCTGTCCAATCCGGCTGAGCCTGTCACAGGCCTGTGGCCTCAAATCCCGAGGAGCCGGGGGGGGGCTAGCCAGGGAGCCCCCAGACCCTGGCCAGCACAGGAGAGGCCCTGACAGGGTGTTCCCAGGGCCAGGCTGCAGATGTCCCAGGGCCCCCTCCGGCCCCCTGCCCCCCACATGGCTCTGTCTCCTCTGGGCGGCTATGATCCTTAGGCACGTCGCAGGCCTGGCATCCTCTGCTCGCAGCGTCTGGGTTCCCGAGCCCGGCTACGACGGGCGGAGTGAGAGGCTGTAGCGGGCACCTGCCAGGAGTCCAGGGCTCTCCCTGGCGTCGCCGGCGCCTGGGCCAGCTGGGGCACGGCTCTGCTTTTCCCTGGCCTGTGATGGGATCGTGTGGGCCCTGCTCAGCTGCCCAGCTGGGCCAAGCGGGGAGTCGGTGGAGTGGCACCAGCGAGGGCTTTGCCCATGGGAGCGGCCTGGGTGCCAGGAGACCTGGGTTCTATCCCCAGCGCTGCCACTGCCTAGTTAGGTGACCCTGGTCCAGTCCCCTCCCTTCTCTGGGCCTGGCACCCCTGCCACCCTTCCTGGGACTGGCCCTGGCCCTGTGTCTGTGCAGCACCTGCCACAGCGGGGCCTTGAGCTCTGCTGGGACCCGAGGGCGACAGTCATTGATAATAACCCTAAACGAAGGCAGCAGTTCCCACAGCGCCTCTGGCCTGGCTGCTGCCTTGTCCCTGTGCCCACTGGCTCCCACACAGACCCCCTCCCGTCCCGCACGGCTGGGGCTAGCCCTGCGCTCCAGGCGGGAAACCAGGGCTCGTGGGCAGGCTCACAGAGCGGCCACCCGCTGCAGGCCTTGGACTCCCGGCCAGTGGGCAGCAGGAGTGAGCCGTGCCCCGGGGTGTCAGGCAGGGTGCCCGATCCCCATGCCGTGGGCTCTGCGGTGCCCTCGGGGGCGTGCTGGGTCACCCTGTGTCTCTCTGCTCCCACAGGTGTCCTGTTCGCCCGCAGACCCCTCGTCCCGGGGGCACCCGGCAGCAACAGCAGCAGGAGCTCCCACGGCCAGGCGAGCCCGGTGCCCGCACAGAACCAGCGGCTCTCGGCCTCCTCACGCAGTCACACTCCCGCCAGCGCCTCGCCGTGAGGGAGGGAGAGACGCCGAGGGCCCCGCGCTGCCACCCCGCCAGCCCCCTCAGTAATAAAGCAACTTGGAGTCAAAGTCCAGGGGAGCGCCCGCGACATGCCGTCTGCAGGCGTGTCCCCCACCTCTGGCTCAGCAAGACCCCTTCTGCCCTGGGGCGGGGGGGCTCTGGCCAGGCTGCTGTGGGGTGAGGGGCCCTGGCCCATGGGGCTCTGGCCGGGCTGCTGTGGGGTGTGGGGCTCTGGCCGGGCTGCCCTGGCCCGTGGGACTCTGGCCGGGCTGCTGTGGGGTGAGGGGCTCTGGCCGGGCTGCCCTGGCCCGTGGGGCTCGGGCTGGGAGCGCTGAGTACTTTGGCTTTCACTGCACACACTTGGACTTGACCTTAGCAGGAAAGTGTCGGGGGTGGGGGGGAATGTGGCTGCTCATGTGTCCGGGCCGAGCCACTGAGCGGGGCAGCGGGATCTGCATGCACACCGCCCTGACACACTCACGTGTGATACCCCACGCACGCGCACACAGCACACCCCTCTTGCACACTCACACACAATCCTGTCTCCCTGCTCATCCTTGGCAAACGACGTGTATTGTCGCTGGAGACGCTCCCAGCCAGGGTGGCCCCGAGGCCAGGCCAGAGAGCAGGACAAGGGGGAGCGGGCGGCAGGGGGCGGGGGAGGGGAATGTGTGGGGCTGGGGCTGGCGCACTGGCCACAACGCTCCTCATGGACTCAGCCAACCCTGGGCACACAAGCCTTTCCGGCCCTGGGAGGCGGGGGGGGGGGGGCTGTTTGGGGGCCAGTTGGGAACAGCAGCCCCCCCCAGTGGTGTCTGGGCTCCAGTGCAAGGCAGCTCCTAGGCGCTCTTTGCCCCTCCTCTCGCAAGTCGCCTTCAGCTTCGTTACTGAATTCCCTCCCCGTGGCGTCGGGGGGCCACAGCTGCCGGCCTGCACTGCGCTGGCCCCTCTGCCCCGTGCTCCCCTCCTCCACCCACAAGGCCCCCAAAGGTGGGGGGAGCAGGGCACTTAGATAAGCTGAACCGTGAGGTGCAAGGGGTTAAAGTGGCTACCTCAAAGCACCCACCTGAGCCAGGAAGCCCCAGCCCCAAGGCGCCCGGCTGTGCCCGCTGAGCTGTGGGCACGTGGGTCTCAGCAGCCGCTGGTGAGCTCGGCACAGATCCCGCCAAGCCCCCTGGTGCCAAACCTCACCAGACTCCTGCCCACCTCCCCCGGGGCTCGCAGGATCCGTGCCTCCTCCAGCCACAGGCAGAGGCGGGGTAAGGCTTGGAGGGAAATGGGGTTTTGCCCCTGAAATTGTGATATTAAAAAAGCAGGACATTTCCCCTCCCCCAATCTGTAACCCACCCTCCTCCCCCATCGCCTGCAGAGCCCCACCCCGCCCCCCACGGCCTGGCCTCAGCACTGCAGGGCGGGGGCTGCACTGAACATGGGAGGCACCGGAGGGGGGAGCACCTGGTCTCTGGGATGGGGGGGGAGCAGAAGAGATGGCCCCAGTGTGTTGGGGTGGGGGGATCTCAGGTGGGGGGGATGCAGCCAGGTGTTGGGGAGATGGCGGGGGTGGGGCAGGAGGAGAGCTGGACCCACTGAAGGTGGGGACGGGAGGATCTGAAGCAGGTCGGTTGGTTGGGGGGGATTGGGGGCAGGGCAGAGGAGCTAGGGCTAGTGGGAGGGGCAGAATGTGTTGAGAAGGGGCGGAGTCTAGGGGAGGGTGGGGCATAGGTGGTGGGCGGAGTCTAGAGCATGCAGTGCAGGAGGGGGCCAGTCTAGGGGAGGCCAGCCTTGGTGAGCAGATAGCCCAGTTTGTCCCACTGTTGTCACCATCATGGCACTGAGATCCAGCCCCCCCCCTATGCCAGCTGTGGGTTTGCTGCCCCATCTACTCCCTCCCCCCACCTGGCTGCAAAGACCCCCCCAAATATCTCACTGTGTACAGATGCAAAGAGAGAAGCAGCCAGGCGGGGCGCACACGGCGCTACCTCGTCTACCCCTGCAGGGCCCTTGCCCGCCGTGACTCCAGAGCCCTTTGGGGAGCCCGGCGGGATGCCGCCTCCTTTCCCTCCCTCCACTCGCTGCCTCGCCCAGGGCTGGGGGGGGCATTTGCGCACGTGTAAATTGCTATGGTACTAAAGAAGGGAACAAGCAGATCTAACCTCACGTCTACCTCAGTGTGTGCCAGGATGTGCCAACCGCCAGGCTGGCGGAGGGTGCTGGGGGTGGGGTGGGGGGACACCCAGAGTCTGGCTTGAGTGGTCTTTGCAAGCTCAGTGCTTTCTACTGCAGGGCGAGGCCAGGAGAGCCGTGCCCAGCTGAGGGCCACGGAGCCTTCGGCAGCCTCAGAGCCGTGGGCACGGGCGCTTCCTGGTTTGAATCCCCTTTTCATCTTCCCAAACGATAATAATCCTGCAACTGACCAAAGATGCCCTCTTCCCTGAAGACGATTCTCCTCCTGTGCTCCCCGGGGCTCCCATCAGAGCTGCCTCCCCTCCCAGTGGCAGCGCGGGAAGGAACGGATGTGTCATGCCACGGCTCCCAGCTTGCCGGCGCCAGGGCGGGCCTGGCAACAGCTGGGCTGAGCCTCCCTGCCAGCTTTGCGTCTGGCCCATCCTGCTGTGATGTGGTGGGCACTGCATCCGCGCCCGGTGTCGCTGGAAGAGATGGACAGTCACGGTGCCGTTCCACTGGCCCTGGAGGACGGGGAACCGGACTGAGCCAGGGTGTGGGTTGACTTTCAAAGCTCTTGTACCAAAGATCCAGTGCCTCAGGCACTTGGCTTTCACTTTGTAGGGCCAGTAGCACCCGGAGAAGGGGAAAGGAAGCAGAGAATGATCTTACTTCTGTCTATTTGTCTGTCTGTCTGTCTGTTCTCGGCTAGGAGCTCTTCCTTTGCTGTGCTAGGCTGCTAGGGTTAGAGGCTGTGCCGCTTTCGCTCGCTGTGTGTGAAGCTTTCCGAGGTTTCTTGATTTTCCTCCGTTCAGTTTCTTCTCTCGTAGGGTTCGGAGTTGATCCAGTGCACTCAGTGGGAGCTGGATTGTGGTGCTCAGGGGAATCAAATAAACAGTAACCAAAAAAAGACAAAAGAGACATTTTCCTTCGGCTGCTCTGAGTTCCAGCACGTTCGGACAATAAAAATGCTGCTTTTCACTGAGCTCTCAGCTGCCTGTCTTGTCTGGCGTTCCCGGTACCCACCGTGCCACCTGCCCTCGGGCCGGGATTCTCTGGGCATGGTCTGGGCACCGTAGCATCAGGTCAGGCGCAGGTCTCCCAAGGGTGCCTCCTTGCCGGGGGCAAAGTGGCGGTGAGGAGGGGGCTAAGCCCACACCGCTCAGGGTGCTGGGACGGGGACCCCTTCTGTTCCCTTTTCTCTCCAGAGATCTGGGTTTAAGGCCAGCCCGGGTCGAGCGTGCTGACGGGTCTGTTGGTCTCTCAGGCCCGAGCACAAACCGGGCCACATGGCAAGAACCAGCCCATGTTCAGCAGCGCCTCGGTCCTGGCAGGACGGCGCCAGGAGGGGAGTTACTGAGAGGCGTTGGCAGAAGGGTGGTGGGAGCCCAGGCCAGGGACAGCAGGGCACCTGCTGCAGGGCGTTAGCAGGGCCCCTTGGTCCAGGAGGGCGTGGCCGTATGAACATTTCACAAGGCATGGATGCCATCCCCCCCCGCATCCATCGCATGCTGTTCCCATCAGCGGGGACTGCACCTGGGACTTTCCAGGCCAAAAGCACAGGCCTCTGTCATTGGAGCCAATGGAGAGCCCGTCCCTGTGTGCAGCAGTGGTAGGTTGGTATAGTCCCTGGGGCCAACCGCCGGAGCGGGACAGGAAGACAAGCACAAGGCTAGCAAATCACACCCATTCAGGGCGCAGCAGGGGTGGGGAGGCACGCCCCTTAGGCAGCGCTGCGTCCCCTGGAGGGCGGGCCCCGGGGGGCCCAGTCCCGAGGATAAAGCCCAGCTTGGCTGGATTCCCTTTGGCCACGCTGTGATTGCATCTGTGTAGCGAGCTGGCTGTTATCAGCCAACACACGCCTCCTGCGGATGGATTGGCAAATCCATACCGGGCGCAGCGAGATAATCGGCTCAATAGCTCAGGCCAGGCCGCGGTCCCCAGGGGTCCCTCCGAGGGGCCCGGGGCGAGGAGGGGCCGTACACCACACAGTCTGCAGCTCTGCCCGGTTAACAGTCACAGGCCCCCGGGGCTGTGATCCCCTCGCATGCGGGCAGGAGACACCCCCCAGAGCTATGGGCCAGGAAGCTGGCAACTCAGCCCAATGCTCCAGCCCAGTAGCAGTGCCAACCCGCCAACAAGCCAGGAAAGGAAAGGCCCAGCGGGTCGTACCCACCCCCAGTGCTGCCCCTCTGGGGTCTCAAAGCACTTTACAGCCCAGTAGGCCTCACAACCTCCTCCCAAGCAGGCAGCGACTTCCACGCTCCCGGGGTGCCCCTCACCCCCCCCCCTCCAGCTTCCCCCTCTCCAGAGGGCTTTTTCCAGCAGGCACCCTGGCTGGGACGGGGCAGGAAGCCGTCCCGGTGACGGATCTGCAGGGGCGTTCCTCACTGCAGCCCCAGCGCAGCGGGCATTGAGCCGGGGACCCCGGAGCGAAAAGCCCAAGCAGCTACAGCTCGGGCTGAGCCAGACTCAGAGCCTCTGTGGACTGGACACATCACCCCCCTCACCCGTGGGTTACCCCTGCCCCACCCACAGCCGGCCCACACCTCCTGCTGCCCAGCCCTAACGGGAGCCTTGAGTCACGTGGGCCCCACGGCTTTCACCTGCTCTGCTCCAGGCTCAGGCCTCTGGTCAGGATGGAGGAGGGCTGAGCCCAGGGCCCGTGGACAGGGGAGGCTGGACTTGGAGCTGAGACGACACCGACTCTCAGGGGATCTCTCCACCTGCCTGGTGACTTGGAGCCCCCAGGGGTGCCGAGCTGCTCCCTTTCAGGGGGGTTCCTGGCAAGCTGCCGACGGGGCTGCGTCCCTCGAGTACCCCACTGACG